AGATAGATAGATAGATAGATAGATAGATAGATAGATAGATAGATAGATAGATAGATGTGTAATATACTACAGGGTTTTTTTGTTGTTCTTGTATCTTTGTCACTTTTTTGTAACACCACCTTTTAACGTTTTCTTTCTTCTTCTTACGTATTCTTATTATTATCGTGTTTTTTTCCTTTGGGTTATTAATTGAAAAGCAATAAAAAATTATTTTTTAAAAAATGTTACAACTGTAGCCCCAGGAGGCTTTGGAGGGAGGGTCTCCACCACCACTACTGCTCACGAGGCAACTGTGCAATGCTTTCTCTCCTAAACAGATTATTTTCCCCTGATCAGGACAAAACTATTGGAAAATCTGGGAAGCCTACAACTGAAAGAGTCCCAGGGCTGAATTTCCCCCCTCTCTGCAGAGTATGGGGTCCCTGCAAGCAAGTCAACTGTCCGTATCTACGAGGGCGAAGCAAGGGGCTTCACGGGCATTATGACCTCATTGCTCACATGATGCCAATGACGTCACTGGCATCAGTCTCATTCATGTGATGTCATCAAGCTATGTATCGGACTCCTCCGTCCTCTGCTGAGCGCGGCGGGCTTTTTTCCGAGGACAACATTCAGGAGGCTGCACTTCGTTTCATCCAGAGCAGCGCTTCCTTCCCCTTGCCTCCTTACAATGGTTAAAAATGTCTGCATTTAATCATTTCCTCTTCCTTATAATTGCTATTTTTCCCCTCTGGGCAGCCAGCAGAGATCAGAAGGCAGACAAGGTGCTCTGTGCAACGCCTCCAGAAAGAGCGAGAGTTCAGGTTTCTTCCGAAAGGCTGGTTTTCCTCCAAACAGCACACCTGGAGTTTTGGCTCCCGGGCAGTTTAGTTCACCTTTACGGTGCAATCACCCTACTGGGGGCCGGATAGGAGTGTATGAGAAAAAAACCAATCCCCGAACTGTAACTTTTCTGAACTTTGCAACACAGCTCGCCAACTTTTAAACAATACGGATATACAAAAGTTTTGAATTTAAGACAGTCTGAAAAAGTTATAAACCTACATGGAAGTCTGTGGGCTGCCCAGCTCCTTTATCACGTGAAGATTGGCCCCATAACACGGTTTAATATCAAGGCCTGGTTCATATCACACTTGTAAAAGAACGGCTGAGTTTCCCTCCACGTGCTCCCAGGGGCATCTGCAAGGAGGTTAAAAAAGTCAAGATGGCCGCTAAAGCCGCACAATCTATCTTTTTTTATGCGCATTGCGTGTATGATGCACATAAAAAAAGGAGAAGCTTTGATTGTGGGCTCACAGCTGCCACGTGGACTTCTTTGGACTGTTTTATGGGGAAAGCAGGAGGAGAGAATATTACAGATATTGCCTTGAGTTATTAAAAAAAAAAGAGGAAGATATAAATCTAGAAAATAAAATACAATAATAAAATAAAATAAAATAAAATTAGGATGGAACTCGTATCACTTTTTAAGAACAGCCAAAGTTGATGAGGGCTACCTAACTCCATTTTTGACTAGCCTAAGGCACTGCGGGAACCCAGCCCAATCGGTTTCCACAGCACGAGCCTGGGCTCAAAACTGGCCACCCCCAACTTCATTTTAGTACCTTTTTAGCTGCAGACCTCATAATAACCAGGCACCATTCTGGGGAAGCACCGTAGCTCAGTTGTTGAGGGGTCTGCTTCGGGTGCAAAACCCCAGTTCCTTTCCTTCCAGGAAAGAGGGTAGGAAAATCAAATCTGGCTAAAACTTCAGGGAGCTATTGCCAGTCAAAATAGGTGGGGATTAAGGATCCTGAAGTCCACCCATCTACAAGGCACCCCTCTTGCAGAAGACAGTCCCAGGATGGAGGCACCGAGATTTTGAACAGGCAGCCCCCAGGATTTGTTCAGCTCAGCCTCCCTTCAACCTGGTGCCTTGCAGACAGACTGGACTGCACCCCATTCCCCCCACTGGAGAGGACCAGGTTGCCGAAGGCGGGGACCGGCTCTCTCTCGGAGGTCTTGAGGCAGGTGATGCATAGACCACGTGGCACTCCGAAGGCTGAGCTGTGAGTGACCGCCAGGGCCCCTCTGCAAGCAATGGAGGCTTAGCTGGGTTTCAGCCCCAGAAGCCTCTCTGGAGTTGGGGGCACCCCTTTGCAAGAGGGGGAAAAAAAGGAAGATGATGTTGCTGTTCACTTTGTTTTTATAGAAATGGTTCCCCCTTTGGGCAAGGTGCGGCTTAAAGAGAGTTACTTGCAGAGCTGGGTGGGCAAGTCCAAGGGTCTGGAAAGACCCAGGAACCCTCGAGGTCCAGGTGGGAGACTAACACTGCTTTTCAGTTCAGAACAAACCTGGATGAATTGTGCACACCGTTTCCCTTCCTCGTGTAGTGTCACTCCGGTAGGGAAGGGCTTTGGATCCCCTACAAGGGGGGAGGGAGGGAGGCTGCCTGCATTTTTCCAATTCCCTTTTTTGCAGCCTGAAATCCCCCCCACCTCCAAACTGGCACCACCAAAACTGGGTGGTGAAACACATAAAATGCCCAATACAACTTTCTACATTCAAAGAAATGGCTCTTCTAAACAAGAGCAGAGAGGGGGGCCATCCAGATCTTGGGGGGAACCTCATTTTAGAGGGCAGGCACTGTGATTAAAGAAAGCACACCTCCAGGGTCCCAATGGGTGGCACTGTTTAATCCAGTGTTTCTCAACCTTGCCAACTTTAAGATATGCGGACTTCAACTCCCAGAATTCCCCAGC